ATAATGGCAATTACAACCCCTTAAAGTATTTAGGTCCACTTACCCAGTAACCCTGAATATATACATTGCCTGGACACCTTAGCATTCTGTACGTTGACAACATATTGTATTGAACGCGAGAATGATGCAGATGGTCGGTAACATACTACATATGTACATAAACGAAAGAACAAAGAAGGGTTATTGCCTAAAGGGGTATAACCCTATCTATTGAATGGCTTTTGTGCACTTATATATTCACCTTTGATTCATATGTCATTTATTGTTCATTAGTAAGAAATAATTCAAGTATTAATGTCAGTAATTCACACTAACTACAACTGAAGAAAAATGCTTCCATTAAATTTACGACTTATTTATCACTTGAAATGTACCCAAACAATTACAAAGTAACACAGCACTTTGTAGTTCTTCGTCACACCGCGTACTGTTGAAAATTAGTCCACAATGAGAGGGTGTCTTAAATATTTAAATGATGTCCTATTTCACACAGACAACAATGAAAGCGCAAGGCGGTAACGAACTAAATGTCTTCTTTGTTATGCGAAGAGTCTGGTATGAGTAATACTTATTTGAAGGTTAAAAAATTAATAAAATTAGTGACGCAGTTAATAAAATTTATCTCTATGGACCCTAATAATTATTTTATTCCTTCTAGACATGAGTAAAATACCAACGATTAAAAAGAAAGAAATAAGATAGAATACAAAATAAGTCATCTAAAAAGTAACAAAATCTTTTTGTCAAACTGGAACGTGAAGCAAGCGAATAGCATATGTACTCGTAGGTGTAACTATGAGATCACATAATACAGCCAATCTAAGGTCCGTGATGTAAAGTAAAACGTATGATATTCTACCTACGCTCGTCTCTATTAGCAAAGAGATTTTTTATTTATTTAATATATTCACATAAAAAATACACAAATATGTGAAGTCACTGACTGCTGAACTAGGCTCTTGGCCTGTGTTACAGAAGTCAGTGTCTTCTCCCATTATGAGGAATACAGAAATCTTATGCAAAATAAGTGCAGTGAGATGAGTGTTATTATATGATAAAAGTGCGTAATGTGGTGTGTGCTGTGCGTTTGTGGTGTGCATGGTATTTAAGTGCATGGATGAATATGTAAGTATGTGTATGGAATGGTTTGAGAGGTGTATATGGTCAGTCTTTAGTCTTTATAATAATATTTTTTTCAGTTTGGTCATAGTCTATACAAAGCAACCAATTGAAAAGACTGACTGACTGCACAGTGGTTTAAGCGGTCGCCACGACGCTTCCTACTACACCGAGTGTTGTGGGTTCAAACCCCACATGGGACGACACTTTGTTTGATCCACAAATTGTTGTTCTGAGTCTGGGTGTTCTATGTGTCCGTTTCATGTGTGTTTGTAAAGACCCTCGCGACACAGGATATATTCCTAATGTGGAAGTTGTCTTTTTTTAAGAAAAAGAAGAAGAAAAGAGATAAAGTACACTAAAGAGTGGCGAAAGGGGAAAATAGTCGAGGATAACCCCTATGCTCAGCGGTCTCTCTCCGTAGCATTATAGCTTCACAGAGACCATTACGCTTTTTAGCCTAGCAGAAGCGGGGCTGTCACGGTATCGTGACTCGTTTTGCACGTGTCTTTGATTAGATTTCGCGTAACCATGATATTTACGCAACCACTCCATTTAGTTAGTTTGATATTATATAGCTACTTAACACCTAACTAGGTTATATTTTCGGGTGATGTTCATTTTTAACACATCAGTGTAAGTTAGGGCATTATTCAATTTTTAAATGGTTACAGAAGAGTGAGTGCGAGTGTGACTATCGCGTATTTCACAAAACTCACGCCGGCATTGGACGCCAGTTTTCAGAACAGATTAATTTGTTTTATTAAGAGCTGATGTTCTGTTAAAATTAATATGGATTGATGGATTTGAAATGTAAAAAAAACACCCATCAATTAATTTTACACCTCCAAAATTATTTAGTAAAATGAAAATTGACAATTTACTTTTTATTGAATGTCAGCCAATTATCTAATGGATAAGTTGGATCTGTAATGGATAGCAAAAACTAAAGAAGCATTATAGGAGCTAGATAATTTCTAAAAGATGCATTGAAGTAATAACTTAAGTTTCAAATGTTTCATGTAACTTATTTCTTAAATATAATACTTGACCTGCTTTAGTATAAAAATTATACTTGTAAGAAAATAAACTTCGCTTAGCTGTTGACGGTTTGGAAATTAATGTTACGTAAAAAACAATATTACGTAGCTAGTGATTGGCACTTCCAATTGCTTTGTTATTGTGGGCTTTAACAAAACATCTCGTCAGAACAATTTATTTAGAAAAATAGGTAGTAATTTATAGGCGAATAGAGAAGTCGTCATGCTTCTTAATTACAATTAAAATCATTTCCTGTGATGTATTTCAAATAATAATTATAATTTACACTTATACTACGCTGCAAAATAATGTGAGTCTTCTCACACATTACTTTTACTCTTCGAATTTGGTATAAGCGTAGGGGATCAAAAGTAGAAAATAACTGAAAGTATTGCTCTTCCCTTTATAAAAATAAAACACTGTAGATAACACTGACTTCTATTGATAGGAAAATATATTTTTGTCTAACTTCAGAAGTTAGATAGAATGGTTTGTGAACACCTCAATGATAAACTTACATAATTTTCTTAATCGCCGTTGTGATACATAATCATTAATTGAAATAACTTTTGTACATGCTTGTGACTGTACTCTACTCTGTAGTTAAGCTCTACATGCCTTCTTGTCTACTATTTTCATTTCAGAAAAAAAATACACACATTTTATATGTTCAAAGTAACTCAACTACTTTAATAGCAGAGTGACAATCATTGCAATAAATCACAACAGTACCTCATAGCGAGTATCAACATTACGGTACTCATAATGTCATTGCATAAATTGAGTCTCTCCGGATCGTGCACACAATCATAATTACATATCAGGAGGCGCTAACGAGTACAACAGATATGAATATCAATAACTGTGGCCTGTGACAATTATAAGTAAATTTTCGAGAGACTGAGAGACTTAATAATTCTTTCATTTATTTTTCGTGCACATTGTTTTTGGGTATTATTTTTTTATCTTTGGTATTGAGGGAGGCTGGTAGTAGGTGCGTGTCTATCACAGGTGATAGACATGTACAATCCAGGGGTTGACGTTTAAACCTCAAGTCTCTGCGAATGTCTTTTTCTATTAGTTTTCCTATCAACATTTATTAAAGGATTTTCTACAATTAGTATAAAACATTTTAATATAATAAAAACGAAGTTAAAACCGAATTTACAATATGGCAATCGAGTATTGTGTCAACAGTAATGTTGTCATTTTTATTATAATATTTATAATTGTCAAATCATTTGGTCCAGTTTTCATTCCTTTCAAAGTTACAGTTTATTGCCCATGTAATATTGTTCTAAATAGTTTACACCATTTACAATAATAATAAATCACTTTATTGTACACTAGGTAACTACAAAAAATAACTTAATGCTATATGAGATAGAACAAGTTGCGGCCTTATCGTTCAGAGGCAATCTCTTACAGGCAACCGTGGCATGGAGAGAAAACTTAACATTACTGTTCTGAGCCTGTTTGGTGGAAACTCTTTATTCAAATAATGATTTGCTACTAAATATTTATATGTATGTCAAATCTAGTCTGGCATAGTATTTCTTTAATGTTAAAATACTATTTAACTTAGGTATAAATCGCCATCCTATTTGGCATCCATTTTACTCTATACTGTGGACCTTTTTGCTTTAAATTGCTAAAACAAATAAGGTACCTACGTACATCTATACGTGAACAGTAAACTCTTTTAATTTTTCAAATCAATCAAAGTAAGTACAAGATAGTATTTGCGAACAGATATAAAACCAGAAATAAATACCTAAGCTACAAATTGCGAGGAACCGAACGAGTACCTACAACGTTCTTCTATTGTGTTACGAAAGACTTGTAAAGACTCCAGGCGTAACGTTACTGTGAATAAAAATTGTTTATTTTGTTAGATAGTGTGTAACTATAGTAACGTTCATATCGATTAATACCAAACAAACGGAGAGTTTCAAAAATTTCATTTGGCTCATTACCTATTTTTTACCTAGCAAATTAGCTCTCACTATATAACCCCACTTCATTTTAATGTCACAAAAATATTTAACACCAATTAGAAAGCGCACCAAAATGAGAAAGCACAATGAAAATTTATACATAAAAGAATGACAGGTCTCAGAATTTGGATTCTGTAATATGCTGGTTTTGTTAATTGTGACAGTATTTATGGCCAGACTAAGTAAGTATACTTATTTGTAACTATGTGGTACCCGCCACTTCGTCCGGGTTTTTCTGAGAGACAAAGTAGCCTAAGTTACTCCTTATATAGACAGCTACCTGATATTAAAAATTATCCAAATCGGTCAAGCCGTTTTGAAGATTACCTGGAACAAATGGACAGACAGACAAAACGACAGACATACAGAACTTTTGGAACGAAGTTCCTTATCGCGCGTTGTGAAAGAGGGCTAGACGGAAAAAATTTACACGAAAAGTTGTAACGACACTTTTTATGTCAGTCATTCAGCGCCATCTATCGAATAGATAGGAAATCATTTCTCAAGGAGATTTTACCAATGTATATATTGTTTTAATTAGAAACCAACTGAAAAATATGTAGGTAATAGCCGCTTTCATAGATGGCGTTGTAATTAAAATCGTGTCGAATCAGTTTTACTCGATCGTCACAACTTCGTTTCACTGTCGTCGCCACTTTTGTAACCCCACCATGTTCCTTCATTATCTCCCTCAAAGTCTCACACATCAAAAAACGATCCCGTAGGTAATTGCTTATGATATTTATGAAATACCCGGAGACACCTAATATTTCCTCCTTAAACCTTGATCTTTCTCAAGGCCTCTAAAGCCGCAGCGGTCTCGAGTAAAGCGAGAACTGCTCCTCATTTGATAGGTTGCGTGATTGATACTTTAAGCCCGTCTATACCTTCACTAATGTCCTTCCTCACTGCCTCCTGGACTTCTTCGACCGTTATGGTGGCATCCAACCCGTCTATAACCACCGTAGTGGTAGAGACAAGATGGCGCACCTCTACGTCAACCCCGGCAGCTTCAGTCATCCTTTTGCTTAGTGTCGAGCGATCTGTAACAGATCCGTCGAGCTGAACAAGGAGACTATTTTTTACTTTTTCATCAATCTAGCCTTCTTCTCCTTCTTTTTCTTCTTCTTTCCATCCACCATCGGCATCGGCTCATTATTACAGGCATTTCTGGGTATCTCTAGTCTTATAACCTTTTAGGCCTCATATTAGCCTCATGTATATTTTTTATTTTTTATGATATTGATTGTAATAAATTGAATTATGTTATTGTTCTTGCTATGTATAACAATACACATAGACTTTACGGGAACCGAGTTACGAATAAAAGAGAAAGTAACGGGTAACCAATATTATTATTAATATTCTCAATCGAAAACAAATCTTTGTAACTTTGTTGCCTCTGTAACAATGTTAGAAAATTAATATATGCTGCTTCTTTATTTACAAACCATTAAATTACACGACATTATATATTTTCGCTTAATGCGATAAATAATTAAGAATTAAATTCATCTATACGTTTTAACGGTTTGCCAAGATCAAAGACGTGACAGCAAGCGATGCCGAACAACGTTAAATTATGTCCGTACAAGCAATTCAGAAACTGATCTGCATTTTATTGTTCCCGTACAACAGGGATGTAGATACTTCCGAAATGTAATATATCTTACCTAGGTATTTTAGTACTCGATGACCATGAAACATTTAAACAACACACATTAGATGAAATGGATTAAAGTGATGAAAGAACGTTCATATTTCATTCACTCAGCTGGTTGTCAGTATAATATTGCTAAACAGTTTTCAATCAGTAGACGCAAATATACACTCGGTTCCAAAAATTACGGGTCAGTCACAAAAATTGAAATACCTCCAGAACTGTAAAAGTTAGATCAATGAAATAAAAAACAGAAAAAAGACTTTTTAGTTGCTCTTCTAATAGCATATTATTTAAACTGGTTGATGAAAAAAACTTCATTAGAAAAACAAAATTTAAAAAAAATACTATTTTTCAAAACAAAATTTTTGTTTCATTTCATTATGGATGCTTTCCATTTCTATTCTGTCACAAAAAAAATTATCGTGAACGTCTTCCACGTGCATAATTATTATTCTGTGAGGTGAAGCATGGCAGTCACGCTAGAGGAATGTTGGTTGGTGTACAGAAGACCAGGGGAGCGCTTCCATCAAGCGTGTGTGGAGGAAAAAGTGGCGTACGGTGGAGGCTCCGTACAAGTTTGGGCTGGGATTTCTACTGAGGCCCGCACCGAGCTGGTACTCATTCAAAATGGAACTCTAAATGCAGAGAGGTACGTGGAAGAGATCCTCAATGAACATGTAGGTCCTTTCATGGCCAGGATGGACCGGCATGGCATATTAATGCATGATAATGCGCGTTCCCATACCGCCAGAATTGTACATGACTACCTTGAAGAGGTCGGTATCGAACTCATGCAGTGGCCAGCGCGAAGCCCGGACTTAAACCCCATCGAGCACGCCTGTGACGAGCTTCAGAGATTCGTGAAAGGTCGAAACCCCCCACCAATCACGCTTCCCGAGCTCAAACAAGCACTGGTGGAGGAATGGGAAGGTATTCCTCAGCACAGGCTCCGAAATTTGGTATACAGCATGCCTAATCGCCTGGAAGCTGTCAGAAGAGCTCGTGGAGGCAATACAAAGTATTAAATGAAGAAAGTGATGAAAAACAGCAAAAAAACAATCATAAAAAAATTTAATCTTAAGAAAAATATGACTACTTTTTTTTTAAATTTAGAGATACGTTAAGAGTTAGAGAGTTTAGATTTAAGTTTTATTTTATTTTTTATCTGTATAATTAAATTCTCAATTGAACAGTCTTCGTTTCATTAGGATGGCATACGTAGTTCGGGAGATATTCGGGTTTATGTGGCTGACCCGTTATTTTTGGAACCGAGTTTAGGTAGTGAGAAATTTCATACATTAAATCTGGTATAGAAAGTAAACCTGTTATTGTGTGTAAGACTTTTCATTGCGATACTCGGAATAGAATGGGTTGTGTAAAATACCGTTATTTAAATGTAACAGCGTAAGTTCTATTACTACGAGTATAGATGATAGATAGATATATTAACCCTAGATTCCTGTTAAAAATATAGAAAAATAAGAACAGCATGAAGCCTGTTTGAAAGGGAAGGAAATATAAAACAATGAACGAGGATTTTTCCAGTTGGTAGCGCTATATTTCCTTCCCGTTCAATTAAAGTTGATCTGAGTTATGGCATGAAATGGGTTAACTTTTAGGGTTGGGAATGTTTACGTTATAAATTTAAATATTAAAGTAAAATATTTGTAGGTCATTAAAATGACTTTAAATTTGCAGGTGTCTATGGACGCTGGCAGTCGACATACTACTTAGTGATCCATCTGCTCGTCATACAAAAGGTTTAAAAATTGACTTTAAAAATTGACCAGAAAATACATATACGTAAGCTTTAATCTTGACTTTTAAATCTTAATTTCAAACTGTGAATCTTTTGTTTTCATTAATTATGATTTCCTGTTCAAAACCTTCAATCTTGTAAAGTTTCGAATTGTGTTGGAGGTATCAAAGGAGATCCAACTTTATTTGAAAGTTTTGTCGACGATAAGCATAGACTGATACACAGTTGATTGTATTTCTAATAAGTGTGTGATAAATATTGAAAAACTTACATAGTTTAAAACGTTTAGTGTAATTTTATATAGAAATTTAAATACTGATTTACACTAATACATTCATCTATACTAAAAATTTAAATATGCGGTGGTTACTTTGTCTGTCTGTAATATTTTCAAGTCTCAACTGCTGCACACATTTTTATGTATTTTGGTTATTATTGGCCATGAAAAAAATACACAGTGTACAATAATTCTTTAAAATTTGATATAAAAACTCATCATGATTAAAACTCACAAAACATATAATTTTGGTATGAAAAATAATGATTTGCACCATTTTTTTAAAATATAATTAAATAAATTTCGCTTAAATTAATCAACTGAAACAATTGCAAAACGTATGTTTAGTACTTGGATTTTTTATTTCTATAAATTATATTTCTTTGATTTCGTGGTCCGATATTTTATCTTATTATATGTTAAAGATTTTTGATAAATGAAAGTGTTTAAACAATTATTGAAAAATAATACTTTTAAACTAATGACTTCGAGTTTTTGTTGTATCTTTAAAATATAATGTAATGTATGTAATATTAGTATACTTTTGATGGATGCTGAAAATATATCGTAAATATATATATGTCTTTTCCTTAATGAAACTTCATTAAGGAAAAGACCTAATTTTTTTTCATGTTTTTCTATCGAACAAAACAAGGGCTCTTTTTTGGATTAAAATAACATGCTATACAAATACAGAGTTTATGATATTTCTCCTGGTCTAATATCGCAAGCGTGATGCTTACCATCTTACCATCTGTCGGAGCTTGTGATACAATGTAAGCAGTTTCACTAGTGCCTTGTCCATTTAGGGTAAATGGACAAGGCGCTAGTGAAACTGCCATCTTCAACTCTCCTTTTTTTTATGCTTTTGGAGAAGGCTTACATACTAATACATTTATGGTTAATGCATATGTGTCTTCATGTTGCTAACAACAAGCCTCCTAAAAAAGGTAACAATTAATGACACTGCTTAAAGTGCCCGGTCAAGGGCTTGTTTATATAATATTAGATCATATATAGATACACATTTAAAATATTCTTATACAAATACAAGCATAAGCAGACACAAACATGAACTGGAGAATAAACAAAAATAAAAACTTAAATTAAATAAGGATTAAATGGAAATACAAACAAAATAAACACAATATTAAATAAAGACAATGCTAACAACAAGACAATGCAACAAATGTTTCTATTACATTGTGTAGTTGCTAGCACAATGTTAACGCACAAGTTACCATTTTTTGTACTACACTACACTAAAGGGCCAAAATATATTCAATACAATAAAAAAAGTATTACCTAAATACTCGTATTTCGTTTAGCTTAGCTAAAATTATTTTCTTAAACATACAATATTACCAAGTGTATTGCCTACATTTGCATATGTAAGCCCAGTTACTGGACTGGATGAGTAATCAGTCATGTGAATGCTGCATGTAATCGAGAAGCTATTTGCTTTTAATAAAATTGCCGCACTGTAGACGTTGACAATTTATGGAAATAGGTTATTTCAAAGTACGTGTACGTTAGCTTCCGTTTACTGCCTAGTGTGACTGCATTCACAATGTAAAGTCAAGGGTCATAAGTGCAGTAACATCGTAATTTTCAAATTCAATCGCGCCAGTTCTGTGCCTATCTTTGTGTGTGATATTTTAATGCACACACACATTATAACCAGACAATACTGACGTATAAAGAAGCAAAATACACCTACTTATAGGTTTTCTTCGTATCGAACTCGGTGGTAGCATCTATCTGAAAGCGGTGCTAAAATTTTTCTTAAAAGTCATTAGAACTAATGGCAGAATCGTGCGATTAGCGAATTACACTGTACACCTTTAATTGATCATTGGTCGATAGTGGGGATGGTTTGTTCCTCAGCAGCTGTTGACTTTTTGGTATTTTTATTTTCAAGACAGGATATATATTTTTTTAATTCTGTTTTTTTAAATGACTGTATTTTACGGAAAAAGGGGTATATTTAATAATAAAAAAGTTTTTATTTTTCAAAAGATCATTTATTTTTACCTTTAAAACAAACCAATCTTTGAAAATAAAAACATTTAAGTATAATATTTTCGTAAAACATTTTGATTGTTTATACAATTTGTTCAAATTTGTTAACAATTAAGAGTTAGAAATTAGGAAAGAGCCCTGGCTCCGACAACATCACAAATGAATTGTTGAAAGCAGCGCACACAACATTAGCCGAACCATTAGCGGAACTGTTTAATTTAATCCTGCAACATTCTGAAACACCCTTGCAATGGTCTGAATCAAATATCATACTTCTTTACAAAAAGGGAAATCCGAAGGATATTGGCAACTACAGACCGATAAGCTTGTTACCAAGCCTCTACAAACTTTTCTCTACCATTATAAATAAAAGAATCAGTAGTACACTGGAAACAAAACAACCGGTAGAGCAAGCAGGCTTCAGAAAAGGATTCTCTACTGTTGACCATATACACACACTTGAACTAATTATAGAAAAGTATCAAGAGCAACAGAGACCACTATACATAGCGTTTATTGATTATCAAAAAGCTTTTGATACGGTAACACACATAAGTATATGGGAAAGCTTAAAACAACAGGGAGTAGGAGACGTATATATAAAGGCCATCAAAAGTATATATAACAACAACAAGGGTAAAATCAAGCTAGAAACCCTCGGACCTAGTTTTCCTATAGAAAGAGGTGTAAGGCAGGGCGACCCGTTATCCCTAAAAATATTTATAGCCATCCTGGAGGCTATAATCAGCAAGCTGGATTGGAGCAAGACAGGACTGTGTATAAAGGGCGAATATTTAAGCCACTTAAGATTCGCAGACGACCTAGTGTTGTTGTTGGAGTCCAGCACCCAGCTACAGCTCATGATCGAAACTTTACATCTAGTTAGTGTCAAGGTGGGATTACAAATGCATCTCACTAAAACTATGGCAATGACGAACAAGGTGAGAAGATTAATAACAATAAATGGAGAGCCACTAAAATATACAGACAAGTATCTATCTATCTTGGGAAGCAAATCAGTTTTGACAGAAAAAATAACGAGCTTGAAGTCGAAAGAAGAATACAACAGACTTGGAAAAGATACTGGAGTTTAAAGGAAATCTTTAAAAGTAACCTCCCTGTAACCATCAAAACGAAAGTTATGAACTCCAGACTCTTACCATGTTTGACGTATGGATGCCAGACGTGGAAATTCACCTCAAAATTGAAAAAAAAAATTACAACGTGCCAACGAGGACTAGAGCGCAGCATGCTTGAAATAAGAAAAATATATAATATATAATATAATATATAAAAATAAGTTCAATAACCAAAGCAACAAATGCATTGATTTATGCACAAAAACTCAAGTGGAAATGGGCGGGTCATGTCGCTAGACTCAAAGATCAGAGATGGACCCTAAAAGTGACATTCTGGAAAGGTCCTCCAGGTAAAAGGAGCAGAGGAAGACCGTTGTCACGTTGGGACGAAGAGATAGCAAGGACAGCCGGCCAAAACTGGAAACAGACCGCACAGGACAGACACAAATGGGCATCTTTGGAGGAGGCCTTTACCCAATATGGGGTTCCTGCAGATACTGCTATAAAATAAATTATGTTAGGCTACAATACCATGTTATTTTAAATAAGTTAAATAAATAAGTAAATTAGAAACGTAAACACACTAGTTAAGCGTATTATATATATATATATATAAACTATTAATTTAAGCAAAATCCATCAAAGAAAAACTAGCTAAGTGAAGTTTATTAAGTAATCAAATTAGATAAGTAACAAACAATGTAAAGTAGGTAAATAGTAGGAAATAAAAGGCTTTTTTATTTATTTTATTATACAATTTGTTCTTGTTATTTTACAGAGGTTTATAGCTTAATTTGTTCATTTTCTCAAGGAAAAGAAGATTGAAACTTAACTTTTAATTAACATAAACTAACTTATTACTATCACAGCCAGCACATCCCCTTTTTTTTGTGCGAAAATCCTCTCGGATACCACTTACCGGTGGCAATGTCGGACTCGAACCGACTAAAACCGCACGCCGTGTACCCTAGAAAGGAAATCCCTGGTGCCCCGACGTACCTCGGGCCCTGTAGAAGGCGGGTCGAAGACACCCCCTGTCTCGGAACCCCCATGTGCCCTCTGTGCTCCCGGAAGGGCGCGCGCGCCTCGCAGCGCGCTGGCCGTCGCCCTGGCCTGATTCTGCTAGGGTGACAGATGGGCTCACCTGTCACCCCCAGGCCTGCACTTATGGAGGACGGAGGTCGTTCTGCGACCACCTACGCCGGGCATTCTGCCAGCGTGTGGTGGCACTCAGGCGTTGGCTCCTTGCGGATCAGACACAGGTGATCCCCGAAACATCCTTTCCGTGTGATCGCCTGAGGCAGTCGGTATAAAACCATTTGTTTCATATTCATCAACCATAAACGGCCGCTGAGACTAAATAACAAGTAAGCCCACAGCTTTTTTCTAAAAAAAATATTTTTACACATTTTGACCCAACACTTAAAAGATAATAAAATAATACACCACAGTTAACATCACATAATCGAACAAAATATCTTACGGTTGTTTCATTGGATTTATAATTCATTTCAAATAAATTAAGGCCAATATTTACTTGCATTTTTACTAATATTTCTTTGCTTTTAAAATACAGATATTCAATTTAAACACCACTAGTAGCAATAACTGATTTTACCAACCGTTACAACAAAATTACAGTCAGTGAATTCATATTGTTTCAAATCTACCCTCAATTTTTTAAGACTACTAGTTTAAAATGACTAAAAATGAAATAAATTATTTGACGTTCAATTAGTTACTATAATCATACGCATGTAGTTTGTGTATCTGTGTGATACACTTTTATAGAAAGAGGTTCTAAGTCCAACTAGTTATAATGCTATATCTTCGTAAAAGTGGTTCTGGAATTATGACCGCGACCGTACTACAGTACGGTCGAGGTCATAATTCATTATTAGTTTTAGTATTATTAGTTTTATTTTGTATTAGAGTTCATAGTGCGTATTAGGAAAGCTATGGTATTCAGTTAGTAGAGCCCAAAGAGTAATATCACTTTCTGGGTATTTATCATGAGGTAGGTACTAGTATCTACCTCACAGATCTCAACGAGCAAAAAGAGACAAAAAATAATTTTACACAGTTTCGCACCAATTTATTTAAGAAAAAATGTGGTGTATACATAGAAGTTTTCTGCAACGATGCAAATTGTTAGAGTGTTTCAGTGTGAGTATTTCAGTTTCGAAATAGTTTTTACAGCTGTGATTATTCAAACCCGTAAAACTAATATTGATGCCCTTATTTATAAAGGTTAGATGATATGAAATCAAATGTCTAGCTTCCAGGACCTTTAATGGTTGTTTTTGAATTAATTGAATGAGTCCAAACATCTCTTGTTTTTGGGAGTTAAAAACGGCAACCCAAGTTCAGACATAATGCAGAACGGCTTATCTTTATTCCCAATAAGCGTGTGATGATTATATTATTCAATACACTCATTCATCTACCTACAATGCTATTCAAGCATATAACGAATACATATAAAGTATGGAGCCGGAGTTTGATATCCAGTCATTTCATTGTTACAGGATCTTCGGATAAAGACATAATTTTCAACGGTTAATTTTATACTTATTACATATCGTTTGTCCGAGGTGCAGTCTGTAATAGGATAGCAAGTTTAATTCACACACTTCAATTATGTTAAAATTTACGAGATATTCGTCGGTTTATAGCGTTTTCATCTTGACGGTATATACTGTAACTGTTTTATGGAAGTCGTTTTTAGAGGTGTAATGATA